CTGAATAATTGGACCAAGTATCTTTTCCTGAGGGAACACTATTGAAAGACATAGAGTACTTCCATTGTTTTTTAAAAGTAAATGTGAACCACAGGCATAACATTACCTGACTTCAAATTACACTACAAAGCTATAGTAACCAAAACAGCACGGTACTGGCATAAAAACAGACACATGGACCAATTGAGCAAAACACAGAACCCAGAAATCAACCTATGTACTTAAAGCCAAATGATCTTTGACAAGGGCAACAAGAACATATACTGGGGAAAAGACTGCCTGTCCAATAAATGCTGCTGGGAAAACTGGACATCCATATGTAGAAGAATGAAACTAGACCCACACCTCTTGCCACATACCAAAATCAACACAAAATGGATTAAAGACTTAAATATAAGACGTGAAACTATAAAAACCTTAGAAGAAAACTTAGGGGAAAACATAAGAGCTAAATAGGCATTTCTCAGAGGAAGATATACAAATGGCCAAGAGACACATGAAAAAATGCTCAGCATCACTAAACATCAGCGAAATACAAATCAAAACCACACTGAGATATTATCTCACCCCAGTTAGACTGGTTATTACTAAAAAAGACAGAATAACAAATGCTGGTGAGGACACAGAGAAAGGGGAACCCTCCTACACTGTTGGTAGGACTGTAAATTAGTGTAGCCACTATGGAAAACAGTACAGAGGTTTCTCAAACAACTACAGAAAGAACTGCCATATAATCCAGGAATCCCTTTTCTGGGTATATATCCAAAGGAATGGTAATCATCATGTTGAAGGGATACCTGCACTCCCACATTTATTGCAGCTCTATTCACAGTAGCCAAGAGCTGGAACCAACCTAAATGTCCATTGACAGGTGACTGGATAAGGAAAACGTGGTATACAAAGTCAATAGACTACTACTAAGGAATGAAATTCTGCCATCTGCAGCAAAATGGATGAACTTAGAGAAAATTATGTTAAGTGAAATAAGCCAGGCACAGAAA